TTTCTGTAATAACCAGTTAACGTTCTTTCATGTCCAAACTGTGTGGTTTTGTAATGTTCTGATATCAACATACACGAAGGCACCTGTTTACTGTAATAGTGGATTTTATCAATATACGATTACGTCGAGAAATTTTGTAATTTCTGAATTGTTTCTTATCCCCCCCCCCCCCCCAAGAAAAAACAAAACAACAACAACAAAACATTTAATAAACAAAATTTAATTGTGCATCATTATAATTTATGTTTGCCCGTCTTTTGAATTTTTTTTAATTTACGAGGGAAATGAAAATCGATAAACGTGCAATTTATCATTAATAGCATTATTATTATTATTATTATTATTATTATTATTGTTGTTATTGTTGAAATTATTATCATATATATTTTGTGAACAATGTCTTTTTGCCTCTTACTTGAGGAATTTCCGACATTCGCTATTCATAGAACTTCCGGTGTATTTTACCAAGAGGAATTGTTGGAAAAATCTTTGAGCGGATGTCCACTTTCTCTCACATTGATCGCCATTTTACTCTATGTAGCGAGTTGCAAAAGGTGTCTGCTGTTTGAAGTGTGTTGACGCACTCCATTTAGTCTGAGACAATTTGCAAGTTATCCAGAAAGGGGTGACATCCATGAGCCACACATGAGATTTAATATTTTTGTTGTTGTTGCTTGTAGTTGATATGAAAATGCGTGATTAGTTTTCACTGTGGGCTGTTGTGGCTGAAAGTCCAATATTGTTATCAAATATGACAGTTCAGGGGTCAAGGGGGAACTGACCTTTGACCTTTCATATTGGGTTTCAGTTTTGGAAGGCAAGGGAATCCAGAATGCCTTTATCTGGTATACATTATAACAAATTCAATTACTTTTGTGTAAACACAAAAATTGAAAACAACACATCAGAACAATAACAAGAAAACAATTAACACACCAACAAATTAAAACACAACATAGAGGAAAATAAAAGAGAAACAGCAATATAGATAGTAGGCTATGCAAAGTACTTATATTCTTCACATGAAAATAAATCAACTCAATGTCAACAAGTGAGTAAGAGACGAAGTGAAGCGCAAGTGAAAATAAACTTTCTTTCTAAAAGTAAAGAGGTTCGGGTTTTAGAGTTTTTGTATTCCCCATTTTCCCCTGGTTTGTTTTATTCCCTGACGGTGTGTGCTTTCTTTTTCTTTTCTTTTTAAAAAATGCACAAATCGCGGAGCAAAAAATGCCAAAAATCGCGGTCACGATTCGCAGGTCGCGGCCGCGACAAACGCAGATGCCAGACAAAGCAAAAACCTGTAGTTTTATCAGTAGGAGTCATTAAAGAGGTTGTTCAAGGACGTACCAACGTATTTAAATGGCAAGTGTTGGGGAGATAAAACAGATCTTTTCCTGAGCACCTTGTGAGACTTAAAAGAGACGTGAAAATGAAGGTTCTTCTCCTCTTCGCCATTCTTATCTCTGTGTCAGGTGAGGGAGACTTCAGTACATGCATCAATGACAAATTCCAGTAACATTTACTCGTTATAATGTGGAAGTGGCTGTCTGCATGCCTTTACCACCACAAGCTAGAGCTTAAGGCTTAGACTATCATGTAATGCTCCATTATAATATAGTTAAACTAGTTTTCTTGTGCACATCCAAATTCTTTGTTTCTTGTGTGTGTGCGTGCGTGTGTGTGTTTGTGTGTGTAAGGTTTATTCGCTATTAACTCAGCATCGACAAAAAGCTCTATATATACTTGCATGGGATAGAGCTATAATATATATTACTGAATCTCTTGTAACCTGTTAATAATAATATATACTACTCTTACCGGAGACAATCACAAGTCATCTCCTCCTCCTCCTCCTCCTCCTCCTCCTACTACTACTACTACTACTACTACTACTACTACTACTACTACTACTACTACTACTACTACTACTACTACTACTACTACTACTACTACTACTACTACTACTACTGCTACTGCTACTACTACTACTACTACTACTACTACTACTACTACTACTACTACTACTACTACTACTACTACTACT